GAGTACAGTATTAGATCAGTCACCTCTAGAAGTAAGTTTGGACTGTAACTATGAGTACAGTATTAGATCAGTCACCTCTAGAAGTAAGTTTGGACTGTAGCTAGGAGTACCGTATTAGATCAGGCACCTCTAGAAGTAAGTTGTAAATTCAGATTGTAGCTAGGAGTACAGCACACGTATTTGATCCGGTGCCTGTAGAAGTAATGTTAATTCTTATTTAAGATGTAATTTCATAGCACGTATTAGATATGTTAAAGTACATGTTGATGTCTCATATGAGATACATATCATCTATATTTATGCAATTTAAGATATTGTTAAATATTGTGCATGTATTTCCTGTTGCCAGCCTGTGGCACCTAAGGAACCACCCCCTGCAGTAAGAACGGTTGATGCTCCAGACACACACAAGGCTTTCCAGGCGCTCACTGCCATGGACTCACTCCAGAACCAGCTCATGTAAGAACCCAGATTCTCCCCAAAACCAGCTGATATAAGAACCCAGATTCTCCCCAAAACCAGCTGATATAAGAACCCAGATTCTCCCCAAAACAAGCAGACATAAGTACCCAGATTCTCCCCAAAACCAGCTGACATAAGTACCCAGATTCTCCCCAAAACCAGCTGATATAGTACCAAGATTCTCCCCAAAACCAGCTGATATAGTACCAAGATTCTCCCCAAAACCAGCTGACATAAGTACCCAGATTCTCCCCAAAACCAGGTGATATAAGTACCCAGATTCTCCCTAAAACCAGCTGATATAAGTATCCAGATTCTCCCCAAAACCAGCTGACATAAGTACCCAGATTCTCCCCAGAACCAGCTCATGTAAGCACCCAGATTCTCCCCAAAACTAGCTGATATAAGTACCCAGATTCTCCCCCAAACCAGCTCGTGCAAGTTCTCAGATCTCCCCAGAACCAGCTCATGTAAGTACCCAGATTCTCCCCAGGACCAGCTGATATAAGAACCCAGATTCTCCCCAAAACCAGCTGATATAGTACCAGGATTCTCCCCAAAACCACCTGATATAAGAACCCAGATTCCCCCCAGGACCAGCTGATATAAGACCCCAGATTCCCCCCAAAACCAGCTGATATAAGAACCCAGATTCTCCCCAAAACCATCTGACATAAGTACCAAGATTTCCCCAGAACAAGCTGATATAAGTAAGTACACAGATTCTCCCCAAAACCAGCTGATATAGTACCAAGATTCTCCCCAAAACCAGCTCATGTAAGTACCCAGATTCTGCCAAAAACCAGCTGATATAAGAACCCAGATTCCCCCCAGGACCAGCTGATATAGTACCAGGATTCCCCCCAAAACCAGCTGATATAGTACCAAGCTTCTCCCCAAAACCAGCTGATATAAGTACCCAGATTCTCCCCAGAACCAGCTCATGTAAGTACCCAGATTCTGCCAAAAACCAGCTGATATAAGTGTACAGATTCTCCCCAAAACCAGCTCATGTAAGTACCCAGATTCTCCTCAGAACCAGGTCATGTATGTACCCAGATTCTCCCCAAAACCAGCTGATATACGTACACAGATTCTCCCCAGAACCAGCTGATATATAAGTACACAGATTCTCCCCAGAACCAGCTGATATATAAGTACACAGATTCTCCCCAAAACCAGCTGATATACGTACACAGATTCTCCCCAGAACCAGCTGATATATAAGTACACAGATTCTCCCCAAAACCAGCTGATATAAGTACACAGATTCTCCCAAGAACCAGCTCATGTAAGTACCTAGAATCTCCCCAGAACCAGCTCATGTAAGTACCCAGATTCTCCCCCAAACCAGCTGATATAAGTACACAGATTCTCCCCAAAACCAGCTGATATACGTACACAGATTCTCCCCAGAACCAGCTGATATAAGTACCCAGATTCTCCCCAAAACCAGCTGACATAAGTACACAGATTCTCCCCTAAACCAGCTGATATAAGAACACAGATTCTCCCCAAAACCAGCTGATATAAGTACCCAGATTCTCCCCAGAACCAGGTCATGTATGTACCCAGATTCTCCCCAAAACCAGCTGATATAAGTACACAGATTCTCCCCTAAACCAGCTGAGATAAGAACCCAGATTCTCCCCAAAACCAGCTGATATAAGTACCCCGATTCTCCCCAGAACCAGGTCATGTATGTACCCAGATTCTCCCCAAAACCAGCTGATATAAGTACCCAGATCCTCCCCAGAACCAGGTCATGTATGTACCCAGATTCTCCTCAAAACCAGCTTATATAAGTACACAGATTCTCCCCACAACCAGCTGATATAAGTACACAGATTCTCCCAAGAACCAGCTCATGTAAGTACCCTGATTCTCCCCAGAACCAGCTCATGCAAGTACCCAGATTCTCCCCCAAACCAGCTGATATAAGTACCCAGATTCTCCCCCAAACCAGCCGATATAAGTACCCAGATTCTCCCCAAAACCAGCTTGTGCAAGTTCTCAGATCTCCCCTGAACCAGCTGATATAAGTACCCAGATTCTCCCCAGAACCAGCTCATGTATGTACCCAGATTCTCCCCAAAACCATCTGACATAAGTACACAGATTCTCCCCAAAACCAGCTGATATAAGTACACAGATTCTCCCCAGAACCAGCTGATATAAGTACCCAGATTCTCCACAAAACCAGCTGAATTAAGTACCCCGATTCTCCCCAGAACCAGCTCATGTATGTACCCAGATTCTCCCCAAAACCAGCTGATATAAGTACACAGATTCTCCCCAAAACCAGCTGATATAAGTACACAGATTCTCCCCAGAACCAGCTGATATAAGTACCCAGATTCTCCCCAGAACCAGCTGATATAAGTACCCAGATTCTCCCCAAAACCAGCTGATATAAGTACCAAGATTCTCCCCAAAACCAGCTGACATAAGTACCCAGATTCTCCCCAGAACCAGCTCATGTATGTACCCAGATTCTCCCCAAAACCAGCTGATATAAGTACCAAGATTCTCCCCAAAACCAGCTGACATAAGTACCCAGATTCTCCCCAGAACCAGCTCATGTAAGTACCAAGATTCTCTCCAGAACCAGCTGACATAAGTACCCAGATTCTCCCCAGAACCAGCTGACATAAGTACCCAGATTCTCCCCAAAACCAGCTGATATATAAGTACCCAGATTCTCCCCAAAACCAGCTGATATATAAGTACACAGATCTCCCCAGAACCAGCTCATGTAAGTTTTCAGATTTCTCCAGAACCAGCTCATGTAAGTACCCAGATTCTCCCCAAAACCATCTGACATAAGTACACAGATTCTCCCAAGAACCAGCTCATGTAAGTTTTCAGATCTCCCCAAAACCAGCTCATATAAGTTTTCAGATTTCTCCAAAACCAGCTCATGTCAGTTTTCAGATCTCTCCAGAACCAGCTCATGTAAGTACCCAGATTCTCCCCAGAACCAGCTCATGTATGTACCAAGATTCTCTCCAGAACCAGCTGACATAAGTACCCAGATTCTCCCCAGAACCAGCTGACATAAGTACCCAGATTCTCCCCAACACCAGCTCATGTAAGTTTTCAGATCTCCCCAAAGCCAGCTCATGTAAGTTTTCAGATTTCTCCAGAACCAGCTCATGTAAGTTGTCAGATCTCCCCAAAACCAGCTCATGAAAGTTTTCAGATCTCCCCAAAGCCAGCTCATGTAAGTTTTCAGATCTCGCCAAAACCAGCTCATGTAAGTTTTCAGATTTCTCCAAAACCAGCTCATGTAAGCTTTCAGATTTCTCCAGAACCAGCTCATGTAAGTTGTCAGATCTCCCCAAAACCAGCTCATGAAAGTTTTCAGATCTCCCCAAAACCAGCTCATGTAAGTTTTCAGATCTCCCCAGAATTAGCTGGTATTATCTTGTGTCTTGTGGTTACAATGTTAGTGAAGTGCATATGGACTACATGTAATGGTGGTACTTGTCATGTAACTGTGACCTGGTATGTGACATTATGAAGTATAAGAGAATCACCGTCAGACTGTTAATGTGTTACAGAGATACAGAAGAGCGTGCCCAGAAAGCTGAGGAGCGGGCTGCCACCGCCGAGACTGATCTAGCATCTGCTGAGGAGAAACTCCGTGAATTGGAGAAAAAATTGATGAAATATGAACAAACAGAGGGATCAGAGGGGAGATCAGTGTCGGTGTCCCCAGCCAAGGCACCCGCCTCTCCAGCCCCAACCACACCCAAAGATCCCTCAGACACCAAGGAGGAAAAGAAACGCCCCGAATCTCAGGCCTCCAAGGGCAGCAGTAAATCGAAAAAGAAGAAAGATAAATAAATAAAAACACTTGCCATAATCTTCGAACAAGAACTTCATTTTCCTGAACTCGACCCACTCTAACAGATACAGCGTATCAGGAAACAGAAACATAACTTTCTTTTTCACTACTATGGACTTTTGTTTTGTTAACACCCGAACATAGAATTGTTTTGTATGCTTCTACTTACTAACTAAAAAAAGGAAATATTTTGTAAATTAACTACTGGTAGCAGCTTTGTAGTCTACAGAGAGTATATGTAAGCATACTAAGCATAAGCAATGTATGTGAAGAAGTGAAGAGTTGATGTGTAAGACTGTTATTCCTGGTCTGAACTCAGTGTGATATTTTATCTACATTGTACCTGTATATTCCGTCCATAAGAGTGAGATGATAGTGTTCAGTGTTTTGTGTGTCACCATCCTCTTTGTTAATCCTCTACACCTGTACTGCTGACGAATAGAACTAAATATTTTGTAACTTTTCACTTTATAGAGTTTATCGTATTCCTCAGTATTATTTTCCCAGTATTATGTTGTATAACTGGTGTTACTGCTGAGATGTATTACCGTATTACCCAACAAGGTTCTAACTACTGAGGCTATGTTGTAAGCACAGGGTCTTACGACGTTATGTAACAGGACTGTCCGAGACTTTGGATTCTATGTTTTAAGTAAGCCACACATCACATTTGTTGGATGTTATGAATGTTTTGTACACATTCCTGATCTTGTCTGTGATATTGGTGAACTGTCTGCTGAGTCCCTGTCCAACCCCTGGAGTAGGGGTCTTTAGATACGTTTATTGAAATATGATGATGATATATAGTGATTTGCAGAGCAAACCAGATACCTTGTCTTTAATATAACCTATTATATATTTGATAGAACAGTATTTTTGTTATCATTGATTCAACATACAATATTGTATCATTGTCTTCATTAAATATTCATATAAACTATAAGCATTATTTGTAAAACTGGAACATGTATGTGTTGATATATTGCTGTCCCAGCTAGGCATTGTAGGTTAGGCTGGACTTTGTTGCACAATTCTCACCAGATCTGATAGACTCTATAGACTTGGGTGTAAATATAATGGTGGACATCGGTACATTTTTGGGAAGACCACGCTCTGATATTGGTCAGATTTTCCTGGGATCAGACAGTATTATTAGCTGGGGTAACAAAAAGCTGCTGAAGAAACCAATGCTGTGATGCTCTAAAGACTGTATTTTGTTATATTGTGATCTTCACATGTATGGTATTTCTGGATATAGTCTCTATGTTGAATCACTCTATATTTAATAAATGTCATTTTTATATACACATGGCTTGTTTGATTCCTTGTCCAGTAGGATAATGTACTGTGTGTATGTCTAGTTTAAATGGTAGTTTGTAAACTTGTTCTGTCTGAAGTACAGTTCAGATGATGCTGATGGATAAGACATCGACTGCTTTCTGTATTTTAATGATCAACACTACAGCAGAGATCAACAGGGCACCATTGAAGATCCCTGTTATGCCCCAGCAACTGAGTTACCAGGGATGGGACAGACCAAGAGGCAATCCTATTAGCATATCTATATTAGACTTTTACACCTAACATAAGCAGATATGGTTATGGGGAAAGGATCACAACCATTTTAAAGTTGACTTAATCACAAAGTATGGCGAATCCTGGAAGCTACATGTTTTAGTCTTTTCATACTCCCAATTGTAGTGGGAATCTGAACCATTTCACTGTTTTAACCCAAGGACCTATGGCCCTATGGGCAGGGACAAGCCCCGAGGCAAATCCTGGTAGCAATTGAACTTTCATGCACAGCTATTATGAACATGGTTACTGGGTGGGGATCTCAAAAGTTCCAAAGTTGTGACGTACAAACTGTCCCTTTGGTGTGCCCAGACCCAAGGGTCAATTCCATCATGCTTAGTTGTCTCTTTGTGTCCAGCAATGGTATATGTGGTGGTAATGAAAGTTATGATGCAGGAACCAAGTCTTCAATAGTTGGGCTAGACCCAAAGATCATCCTGGTAGCATGTCATCTCATTATAGTGTGGGGATCTCAACTGTTTCTAAGTTGTGACAGAGGATTCATTCCCTAGGGTGTAGTACCCAGATCCCTGGGCCAATTTTAAAATCATGTGTTCACTCTTTATGCCCAGCAATTTATATGGATATGGAATTGGGATATCAAAGGTTTCAAAGTTATGACCTAGGGAACTATGTCTCCATGAATGGGTCCATCTTGGAAGCATATATGTATTTGTTTTCTTTATACTCAGCAATGATATATATAGTTATAGGGTGGGGGAACTGTCTTCGGACCAGGTGAGCTAATAATAGATTTCAGATGAGAATACATACAACAACAAAATTGCTTTTATAAAATAGGTTTATTAGTTTCATTCAGATTGTATGATGAAACTTGTGTATAAAGTATCACATGGGTATGTTTGACACTGTAAGCTGACGAGGGTATGTAGCACAGGAGAAGAGTCCTCTCTGTGTACAACTATATATACAGCCGTCCATTATATGGAACACATCTCTTAACACTCCGGGTTAATACTGTACAATTACTCAAACAGTAGTCAATCATTCTACAACTTACTCATCGACTGTATCATCTGTTATAATCTCTCTCGATATTCATCTGTCACCTCTAGCTATGCATGCACACACACACAAACACAGTCAAAACATCTCATAATAGCACACACCTGTGTAAATAAAAAAAAAAATATTCTCTAGACTTTGGCATGGCATTTTATAAATTATACAACCTGATCTTTCATTTCAAACGAGCACATCATACAAAATGAGCCAGGAGTAGCTAGTGTTTTGACAGAAGGATGTCAACTCATTTATCATAGGAATATAAGGAAGAACACATATTTCTGTAGGTTATAATTGGTCAATAATGGAGATTTTAATGTGCATGATCTAACTTAATACCGAGTTCATCTTAAAATTAACAAATCATCAACATTTTAACAGAATCAAGTCCAGAATTAGATATACCAGTATATTTATCGGTAAGAATTAGGTATTTACATACAATTCAATGGTTAAACCAACAATACAGCTGGCTTCATTACTACATGTTGTTTTACAACCAAAGTCGCAGACTCTTCATAGCTTCTCTCTGTAGCTTGGAGACTGATTGACAAGACAAAAAATTCCTTTACAGTTTAATCAGGGTAAGTTAATGAAATTTTGAAATTTCAACCAAATATTACTTAGATTTGCAATCACTTTTGTGGCACAAAATGAAGGCTCTTCGACCAAGACAGACTGACAAATAATTGTACAGGAAGTTTGATGTCCAGTATTGGCTATACTGTGCAATAAGCTGACACAGACTGACAAATAATTGTACAGGAAGTTTGATTCCAGTATTAACTATACTGTACAATAAGCTGGCACAGACTGAAAAATTATTTTACAGGAAGTTTGATGTCCAGTATTAGCTATACTGTACAATAAGCTGACACAGACTGACAAATAATCGACAGGAAGTTTGATGTCCAGTATTAGCTATACTGTACAATAAGCTGACAAAGACTGACAAATAATTGTACAGAAAGTTTGATGTCCAGTATTAGCTTAACTGTAGAAATAAGCTGACAAAGACTGACAAATAATTTTACAGGAAGTTTGATGTCCAGTACTAGCTATACTGTAAAATAAGCTGACAAAGACTGACAAATTATTTTACAGGAAGTTTGATGTCCAGCATTAGCTAAACTGTACAAATAAGCTGACACAGACTGACAAATAATTTTAGAGGAAGTTTGATGTCCAGTATTAGCTATTCTGTACAAATAAGCTGACAAAGACTGACACATTATTTTCCGGGAGGTTGATGTCCAGTATTAGCTATACTGCACAATAAGCTGACACAGACTGACAAATAATGGTACAGGAAGTTTGATTCCAGTATTAACTATACTGGACAATAAGCTGGCACAGACTGAAAAATTATTTTACAGTAAGTTTGATGTCCAGTATTAGCTATCCTGTACAATAAGCTGACACAGACTGAAAAATAATTGTACAGGAAGTTTGATGTCCAGAATAAGCTATACTGAACAATAAGCTGACACAGACTGACAAATAATTTTAGAGGAAGTTTGATGTCCAGTATTAGCTATACTGTTCAATAAGCTGACAAAGACTGACAAATAATTGTACAGAAAGTTTGATGTCCAGTATTAGCTTAACTGTAGAAATAAGCTGACAAAGACTGACAAATAATTGTACAGAAAGTTTGATGTCCAGAATTAGCTTAACTGTACAAATAAGCTGACAAAGACTGACACATTATTTTCCGGGAGGTTGATGTCCAGTATTAGCTATACTGTACAAATAAGCTGACATAGACTGACAAATAATTCAACAGGAAGCTTGATGTCCAGTATTAGCTATACTGCACAATAAGCTGACACAGACTGACAACTAATTGTACAGGAAGTTTGATTCCAGTATTAACTATACTGGACAATAAGCTGGCACAGACTGAAAAATTATTTTACAGTAAGTTTGATGTCCAGTATTAGCTATCCTGTACAATAAGCTGACACAGACTGACGAATAATTTTATAGGAAGTTTGATGTCCAGTATTAGCTAAACTGTAAAAATAAGCTGACACAGACTGACAAATAATTTTAAAGGAAGTTTGATGTCCAGTATTAGCTATTCTGTACAAATAAGCTGACAAAGACTGACACATTATTTTCCGGGAGGTTGATGTCCAGTATTAGCTATACTGTACAAATAAGCTGACATAGACTGACAAATAATTCAACAGGAAGCTTGATGTCCAGTATTAGCTATACTGTACAATAGTGACACAGACTGACAAATAATTCAACAGGAAGCTTGATGTATGACTTTCACTAACTGTACATTCTATGTTTTTACATGAGCTTCTATCACATACTGGTAACATACTATTTATTTGTTCTTCTATGATTATAGCATTAAAACATTGGCTATTTCAATAAATCATTTCTTTATACATTCCTGAGATATCCATTTATACATGAACTTATATTGTTTCAATATTGTTTGGCTTGTACATGAATACAATAAAACGTTTCTCTTGATGATTTCACTACTGCCTCAAGATCATTTTGATCTTCCTTTGCGTGACCCTGAACACATGCAGAGGCTCAGACCTAAGAGGTGTCTGCTGGTGAATTCAAATTTTCAGGTAAAGTTGTATCCACAACATAGATAGCAAACATTGAGCCACCATTTACTGGGACAGGCTTTTCAGGTTCCTCCAAGTCTATGCACCAATTAGTCAGTAGTCCATACAGTCCCAGCATTTATATTACATATTTTAGCGCTGTCATTTCAACAGTCACAGGATTTGCATACTATGTACTAATCACTGCCAGTCTAACATCAAATGACTGATGAATTTGTCACAGGTAGAGATCACACTGTTATTGTCTGCATGCTACAACCTGGCTTCATGACATATATATATTTGATTTCTGGCAGGCACTCTATCTCTTCTCATACATGTATCACATTTAGCTCCAAGCAGGCATTCTGTCCATGTTTACTGATATCACATGTTATCCTGACAGGTGTCTCCACACATATCACATCTCCTGGCAGGCACTCATTTAATAATTGGAAAATAGCCTATGTACACACTAAGTTCCCCTGCTGCTATACAGGAGGGCCAGGATGCAAGAACATACATGTAGCTCCCCTTCTACAACCTCCGGCAGCATAGTGGCGACAGACGGGCACATCTGGTCGACCTGCACACAAAATAATAATCACAAATGTACCTGGTGTATTAAGTTATGTTAACTGTTAAATTATGTTAACTGTTAAGTTATGTTAACTGTTAAGTTATGTTAACTGTTAAATTATGTTCAGAGTACAAATTTGGTTTAGGAGAATTTATGACATACCTCCTCTCATTCGGCCTCCTCTCATGCCCCTTCCTCTAGGGCCCCCTCTTGGTCCCATATATCCTGGAGGTGGTATATCTGGTCCACAAAATTCTGGTCCCATTGGCCCAAAATCTGGTCCCCCAGGTGGTCCAGGCATCCTGCCACCTCTCATTGGAATGCCCGGCCGGCCTCGCCCCCTCATGCCAGGACGGGGGCCCCCAATCATGTTCTCGCCCCACTCATCACGATCCCCTGGGCCTAAAGGTGGCCCACCCATGCCTGGTCCACCCATACCTGGTCCTGAAATAAAGACCCAATGTTAAAACTGTCACTCTATTCATACTATTGAATTAAACTTTAAACAAATACACAAATTTATCACATTAATAAAGTTAAATCTCAGACTTACCTGGGGGTGGAAATCTGGGAGCTCCTGGAGGTCCTCCCATCCCCATAGGGAAGCCTGGTGGGGCGTTTCCCAGTAGACCTAGACGTGGTGGCATTCCACTCATCCCTCCAGGCATCCCCATACCCGTGTTCTCTGGCATCACACCTACCACAACAAAAATTATGATGAATTGTCAGCTATTTTTTATCACAATGTTTACAGATCTAAGCTTTTATAACAGTTTTAATTGACAGGAAAATTCACATAACACTTGCAATTTTTTATTCAAAATATCAATTTTGCAAGATGTTTGTTTTCAAAAAGGTTTTCTTTTCACTACAATATTTTATAATAGATCTAGTATGACCATGCCACTCACCTGGGTTGTTGAGAACACTCTTTAACTGCTCCAAAGCTGCTTCAGCCTTACTAGGATCTTTTGTTTCACCCTGTAGGACACACAATATGGCCATCATAATTCATGTTATATACTATCACTATTCCGTAGCCTACCAGACAGTAATTTTCTGATTTACCTACAGTACTCTGTGCCAAACAGGTAGAATGTTACCCTTCAATACGACATGCCTAACAGGTAGCAATTTTCCAATATTACCTTAGTATTCCACACTTCACAGGAAGTGATTTTCTGAGCTTATTTTCAGTACTGTGTGCCCAAGAGGAAGTTAATTTCTGATGTAATCTTTCTGCAATTGAGTCAGTCACTCCGGACATATTAACCCGCCAAGGTACACTCTCAAACAAACATTATTACAAGCATGTGCTACTTAATATAATCTGCTCTGTTATAGAAACAAGTTCACCATATACATGTTAATAAATATGTACATTCCCTGTAAACCTACCGATATGGAGGTCAGAAGGTTCTGGACATTTGCTAACACGGGATTGTTGGGATCCATTGGTGTCTGTGCATGGGCCGCCTGTTGGTGGAAGTTGGCCAGCATGTTTGCCACATCTGGGGGCAGCTGGAAAGGAGCCACCTGAACCTCTGGGACCGACTTGTGGCCGGGATTGTCATAGCTATACATGAACTCATCACCTCCGGATGTCTCCTGGGGTAACACACAACACACAACAGTAAGACACAAAGCAGATTTGGTTTTTTTCAAACCATATAGACCAAACTTTTTGCATTACTAAACTTTTTGTTTCATTGCATTACTGTAGCTCAAATTAATAGACCTTAATATTTATCAGTTTACCGTAACTTATTCATTTCTTAATATAAGGTTTTGAGATAAGATAGACATATTTCTTACATCTTCCAGTGGAATGAACTTTGGATCAGAGGGTTCCACGGACTCCAAGTCTGGTTCACTTGGTCCATCAGGTAGCCTGCAAATACAAATATCATTACAATACTGTGTCATATTGCAATAACACAAGAATTACGCGTATTTATATGTGTCTCCTGTCCCGCTTTGTCAATATAATAAATATTTGACATAGTACATAAGGAAACGGACCTATACGCAAAATCATAACATTGATTTTTTTTAAACATTTGACGTAGTACATAAGGAAACGGACCTAAACGCAAAATCATAACATTGATTTTTTAAAGTCCAGAAATTTCAGGTTTTTATCCGAAAAAGTGGAGAAATCCATGAAATGTTTTTAGAGTAGTAGGCTCTACTACCCATGATACATGTATGATTGAGGTTTGGTTGGTGTAGCTCTTATAATTTGTCAGAAAGAGCCTAATATGCAAGAGCTAAACGCAAAACCTTAACGTTGAGTTTTTTTCTAAGTCCAGAAATTTGAGGTTTTTAGCCCAAAAATACAGAAATCGTTGAAATACTAGTAAAGAGTGTAATGCATTCAGCTATACATCCCATGATACACCTATGACCCAAGTTTGGTTGCTCTAGCATTTATACTTTGCCAGAAACAGCCATATATGTAAGAGCTAAACGCAAAACCTTAACGTTGAGTTTTTTTCTAAGTCGCCGTTGGAAAAGCAATGCCTATGGGTCTTTCCGACATCTGTCGTAGGCGACACAATAAAATCACTGATCAGGTAAACATTTCAATAAGAATTCCTCTTTTACTTTGACAGCAAAGAAATCTCCAAATGTTAACATGTTTATTGGTCAATACTATATGGAGAGACTAACATTTCTCTAAGTAAAGCACACCATACCAGGCCTATAGCTCCTAGGTAATACTCACATCTCCTTGTTGAAGAAGAGTGCCTGTAAGACCACACCTTCCCTCTCTTTCTGTACATCCTTCTCCAGACTCTGGCAACCTCGCTCTGACGGAGGTGGGGGCAGACCAGATATTAAGAAAGGGAATCTCCACTGCAACACAAAAGGGACCATCATGGGCATCTCTCTCAACAACATTAGCTTCAGATATACATTCAATGAGGATCTAAAATTGTTACTGGCTTATTTCAGTCACATGACCAAACTTTTCTTACTGACAAGGTGTTGGGAGGGTCAGGCTCGGAAAAATAAACATGGATGACCCTTGAAATCAACCTTGAAATACAAGCAAGCTTCACTATTTTGACATCACTGATATAATGTCAAACCATTGCTTACTTACATTTTGTAACAGCAGAATCAAGAGCTGCTGGTGTGAATTTGCCTAAGCTTAGAGAAAATTTGATAAGATTGCTAAATCTTTGTTGAATATAAAAGAGTTTATTACTTCTGTATAACTCAATATGGTGGAATTCAGTTTCTCAACCAAAAATAGCCACCATATTTACCTATACAGGAGTAATAGCCACCATATTAACCTATACAGGAGTAATAGCCACCATATTTACCTATACAGGAGTAATAGCCACCATACAGGAGTAATAGCCACCATAATTACCTATACAGGAGTAATAGCCACCATATTTACCTATACAGTAGTAATAGCCACCATATTTACCTATACAGGAGTAATAGCCAACATATTTACCTATACAGGAGAAATAGCCACCATATTTACCTATACAGGAGTAATAGCCACCATATTTACCTATACAGTAGTAATAGCCACCATCTTTACCTTTACATGAGTAATGGCCACCATATTTACCTATACAGGAGTAATAACCACCATATTTACCTATACAGGAGTAATGGCCACCATATTTACCTATACAGGAGTAATTGCCACCATATTTTACCTATACAGGAGTAATTGCCACCATATTTACCTATACAGGAGGAATAGCCACCATATTTACCTATACAGGAGTAATGGCCACCATATTTACCGATACAGGAGTAATTGCCACCATATTTACCTATACAGGAGTAATAACCACCATATTTACCTATACAGGAGGAATAGCCACCATATTTACCTATACAGGAGTAATGGCCACCATATTTACCTATACAGGAGTAATTGCCACCATATTTACCTATACAGGAGTAATTGCCACCATATAAACCTATACAGGAGGAATAGCCACCATATTTACCTATACAGGAGTAATAGCCCCCATATTTACCTATACAGCAGTAATGGCCACCATATTTACCTATACAGGAGTAATGGCCACCATATTTACCTATACAGGAGTAATAGCCACCATATTTACCTATACAGTAGTAATGGCCACCATATTTACCTATACAGGAGTAATAGCCACCATATTTTTCTATACAGGAGTAACAAACTGTATGTAAGCTTCAAATAAATTTCCCGGTCTCAGATGACATTAGTTCATAGATATATGCAAGACCAGCTCCAATTATTGCTATGTTATGGACAATTTTTTAAGAAACAATCTGTGATCTTGACTGTATATTCCAGCTTCAACACAAAAGTGACAAAAGGCAAGGTACTTACAGGAATAGCTTCCTGCATATTGTCCTTTGTGTATCTTTTAGCCGACTCTGCAACCTTAAAAAGAACATATATATTGTTAATGAATCTTTAAGGACCTGAATAATTCTATTTACTTGTGAATTTTGATAAACACATTTATAAATTATGCCATTATGAAAACAAAAGTAGAACCACGAAGCAAAACAATTTCTGAAACATCGAATCAAATTTGTTTTGAAACACTGAACCGTATTATTTTTCATTATGGTGAAACAAAAATCCCTTTGAATTACAGAAACAATTTTTCTTTAAATCACCTTAACAAACATTTTAAAATCAAACAATTATATTTCATCTGAACTCACCTTTCTGTCCATCATCATTTCATGCTTCTTCGCCTCATCAAAATTCTCTTTGGGTCTGTTAACATTTTCTACAAAGGCAAAAAAGAGAATTGTATGTCAACGAGTATGAACAGAGAGCAACTAGTGTGGAACCAAAATATATTGTGTTTCTGTGTCTAGAACCAATTGAAGACTTATTAAGAATGACTAATACCTCTTTCCGTTTCGTCCATTTCAAAATAATGATACTGGTGAAGTTTGCCTTCTTCTGCCCACGAAACAGTCAGCCTCTTCTTCTTCTTCTTGGTTGTGGTCTCAGTTGATAGTAAACTCTCACCAAAGTCATCTATAACAGGTTTCTCTGCATTCTCACTATTTTCAGCCTCTTTTTCAACATTGGATTCTGAAGTTTAATTACAAAGGGTTATGTGTTAAAATTATGTATGCCATTAAAATTATTGAAGCTTAGAAGCAACAGAATTTTCTTTTTTTTCTTGGATAGGAAGACAATAGAATATTGTTGTTTTAATGTTACCCTGTCCTTCTATAGTCACATGTCATTTGGTGACAGGACAGTAAGTACACTTGCCTTTGTTGTCGGTCTCCATATTATCGTCTGTGACTTCTTTGGCTTCTGAGGTATCCATCTTCTCTGTAGGAGATGGGCTTCTATCCTGCGTTGGACTAGTTCCATTAGTTTCACTGGTTTCCAATGTTTCCTTGTAAAACTGTACAATATAATCAAATCAAATGTAAATACAGACAAAACTTTATAAACTTTATCAGATTATAAATAAGTGTACACTTTAATAGATTAAACAGAAATAAACGTTTCCTGAAACAATAAAATATAAATTGTTTTCCAAAACAAAATCTGTAATTATAAATTGGCAATATTTTCTGATTTTGCCATTACAGTACTTACAGAGGGTACTGAAGGTAGACTAGACTTGAGGGCAGTGGTAGGCGATACAGGTGATGGGGGCGTGGTGGGTGTGGTTGGAGTGGTGAGTTTAGTGGGTGTGGTTCCGTTGACCCCAGGGCGAGGTTTTCTCTTCATCCTCCCTACCGGTCTTATGATGTCATTTATAAAACTATTGTCTTCATGCATCGCAGCTGTAACAAACAAACAGAATGGTAAACATCTACAGCATTCAGTCCAGTAGCAATTATGGTAACATCCTACTTGGTTATTGCACATACTGGTAATGGTTTAAATCAGAAAAAAACATCACACATACTTTCTAGCTTGAAATAGTGGATTTTGTTTTCATTTACAAGGAAATGTACTTTTAAAAATCATATTATATTTTGTTGGTCAAATAACAACTACCTAGCTTACAACTGTTTAGTAAACAAGAGACAGCATAGCAATAAACTAACACTGCATTACATATTGCAATGAAGACTCACACTTGACTGGTTTCTGGAAAGGGAATTTAATCTGATTATGTATGTCTCCTGGTGACACTATCGTTGGTGATTTTTCCGTTGGAGAGCTGGAAGGCAAGGAAGTTGTAACATGGAGGCGAGATTTCTTCCACGGTGGTTCCTCTTTTATCTTTTGGTCAGAACTGGAAAAAAAACCAATCAAAATTAGTTAAATTCCTTTATTATCAAGAATAAGGATGAATGACATGTTACTACTATTTTTACTTATGACCTTAAAGCAACATTTCATCCAAGACATGATGTTTTAGTTCTGTTTTAATATATCTACATACTTAGCATGGTTGTTCAAACTTTCTTTATATTAAGGGTGAGGCAAAATTTCTGTAATAAACTGATTCAGAATTAATTTGGCTTGCATTACAAAAAAAAGGTGAATATGAAGAAATGGTCCATCACAAAAATATGGTTTCGGCTCTTCTTTGAAGGCATATGATATATTACCACAGATTCAGAGTTCTTGTCGTTCCTTTTAGACTGGCAATTGTTTAATGACATGTCTGGAAATATCACCACAGCATAGCTAATAACTACTTAGTTAAAATGTTCATTGTAAGTGATAAAAGATAGCATACCCTGGCCTTTTGATTACAGGCCGGTTTTCTGGTCCAGTCTGAGAGGGCATTTTCTTCTTCAGTAGTGGCATAGGTCCACTGTCCTCTATCACACCTTTAACATTATAAGGTTACAGCCTGTAACAATGTACGCAAGGAACGCCTAACAACGTACATAAGGAACGCCTAACAACGTAAACAAGGAACGCCTAACAACGTACACAAGGAACGCCTAACAACTAAAACAAGGAACGCCTAACAACGTACACAAGGAACGCCTAACAACGTACGCAAGGAACGCCTAACAACGTACACAAGGAACACCTAACAACGTAAACAAGGAACGCCGAACAACGTAACCAAGGAACGCCTAACAACTAAAACAAGGAACGCCTAACAACTAAAACAAGGAACGCCTAACAACGTAAATAAGGAACGCCTAACAACATACACAAGGAAAGCCTAACAACGTACACAAGGAATGCCTAACAACGTACACAAGGAACGCCTAACAACGTACACAAGGAACGCTAGCTGTGATAACGTAGCTTTCTGACGATGACATTTTTTTTTATATATTGCGTCGTCAGAGCTACGAAGCGGTCCTATGCCAACTAAGGGAGCAAAATCAAAAGTGTTAATCTGTAAGATTGCATATAATTCACGCCTCATATGAGTATAATGTTATCAAAATATTGCATATTTGTTGAAAAAATTAATCCTTACCCATGCAAAAACTCTTTTACGAAATTAACAGAGTCCGTCTTGGGATTTTTTTTTTAGAAACGACCGCCATGACAGATCACGCGTGATGTTATCTCAATTATCCTTTCTATATATGGCCTGCATGGCAAAATATAGTATTACTACTGATGCTGCCATATTGGGTCATGACACCCATATTTGGACGTCTGACCTATATCGGAAGAGAGACGAACTTTCCAACATGGCGGTCAATTCAGATTTCGATTACGCTTGCTACGTTAACTTGATAATTTAACGACATTTTAGGCAGAGTTTAACTTCAAGTTGTGCAGGATATCAACAGAAATAGTTCATACTACAACCTTATTTATGGATGCGGACCAATGTGCTGTCAATTAATTCTAAAATCGCCCCGGTGTGATTCACACTGGGCTTGCTCCATTACACGGCATGGGATCGATTTAATACCCGGCCGGGGAAGAGGAGGCCAGGTATTAATATTAGTACTAAAGCAACGCCTAGCAACGTACACAAGGAATGCCTAGCAACGTACACAAGGAACGCCTAACAACATACACAAGAACGCCTAACAACGTACACAAGGAATGCCTAACAACGTACACAAGGAACGCCTAACAACGTACACAAGGAATGCCTAGCAACGTACACAAGGAACGCCTAACAACATACACAAGAACGCCTAGACAAAACAAAGATCTATAGCTGATCCTAGTTGTGAAGAAGGCTATCCTTCTTTGATGAATAGATATGATTACTACCTGCAAAAGGATCACGAAAACATCTTTGTTCGAACAGAAAGCTGCCTCTCATTTAAATGCTGATCTTGGGTCATGTTAACTGTCACTTTGATAATTCATACTCTATTTTTATTCTTTTAAATAATGAGCTTTAAAAGTAACCAGTTAAAAGTTCTGAATAAATCATGATTTTTGCAAATACAAATTTTAATAATTAGTGAATCAGGAAAATTATTGCTAGGACAATTTTTTGCCAATTTATTGGTAAAGTAAACATGTAAAGATAAATACCAGTTACAGAAAATTATAATTACATATAGTAATGATATGATAACATAGAAGAATATTTTCATCCTTTCCCTATACACTTCACATCCCTCTCATATAAACACGTCAACACATACCACTAGAACGAGGTTTGACAGGAGGTCGTTTCACAGTGGAAGGTCGCTTTGGCTCTGGTGGTTTTTTGTCATTGCGCTCTAGTTTGATGTGTATTTTGAGTCCATTTCCTGGCGTGACAGTGCCAGTGGCAGTGTTTGTACTAAGATTGTCTACGCTGACAGAGTCTGATTTATCGTCTTTGTTTTTACTAGACTCATTCTTCTCCTCCTTACTACGGTGGTGGTGATGATGGTGCTGAGTTGATGATGATGAGGATGAGGATGATGAGGATGATGATGACACATGTTTATGCTTATCTTTCTCCTTATCTTTCTCCTTTTCACTGTCTTTCTCTTTTTTATCACTCTTCTTTTTTTTCCTCATTTTATCTTTATCTAAAACAAAAAACATCTTGCATTAACAGACAAAAAAAGGTTTGCTATAACAGATATAGGTATATCATTTCACATCTAGCATCATCATCAAGTATATTTTTACTTAACAAAATTTCTTTTTTTTTCAAAATGACAAATTATCTAACAGTATTTTCTTCAAAAGGAGTTGGAAACAAGGAAATTTGATTGCAAGCTTACTCTTGTAAACTTCCTAGACTTCACTTATTTTCTCTTGTACAGTAAAATATCTCTGGAATGGAAGTCGTATCTGACCCCAGTATACCAGCAGTTTGTTACGACCACAACCTACCATTAGCTTCCCCAGCGTCCTTATTACTGTTTTCTCGAATTTTGTTCATCCATTTCTCAACAATATCTGATGACAAAGTCTTCAACACTGAAAATTTAAAAAAGATATCAATATATATAATTACACATAAATATCATGTCAGCTCTTATCTTCCAAAGCTATATAACAAATGTAGCAGAATTTACCTACATTTCAAAAACTGTATTTGTATAAAATGGAACACATACTGCCTACATAATAACTATGAAGTTCAAATATTTATGCTAGGTACCAGTTACCATTCTCATCCCTGGGGAAAATGCTGTTACAAAATGTTTTCACCAAAATGAAGCAACAGTTTATGTTATTATAATTTGATATGTAAAACGAAACAGACACTTTCGTATTTATTTGCTATATATACAATTTAATACAAACTATATAAGAAAATAAGAGTATGGTGTAAAATTACCAATCTGGACAAGAACGCATTTGAAAGGTGGTACAATTTCACAATTCAGTTAATTGATTTTGTTCCAACACAACTGCTTACTTTCGTCCTCTGACTTGCGGAACTGTTTGATGGTCTTGGCAGCACCATTTTTCTTGAGGAGGTCAACAGTGATGGGGAGTTGATGGTATACTTTGAGAAGCTCTACCAGGATGGGCGTGTTCTCAGTGTTTTTACTGTCCTCCAACCACACATTGAGGATATCCCATCCTCCAACTTCTATAAACCTACAAGTCAACAATATCTCTTTGAAATGTTATAGCACAGTCTGTTTACTCGTCAATAACCATAGAATTACGTTTTGCTTTCCAAATTTGATTTTTTTTATTCAGTGGAAATTTGACAATTTCATGAGTTTATTTCTTTAAAACATTGTATAACACATTACTCAGTACCATGAGCATGGGCACTTGGTGTTCGCAATCAATCTAAGGTTTCTTGGGTACACCATCCATGTTGGGAGTGGCAACCCCTAATAACCTATGGTTTCTTGGGGTATTTCATTATGGCACTAAGTAACCGAATACAGAGCTTTAAACCTGTAACTTACTTCTCCAAGACATCTAGAGTATCTGTGGCCCTCAGGATATTGATGTACACGCATTTACTGGCTAGCTTTGTAACATCTCGCATTAGACTGCAAATGAAAATAAATTTTATTAGAAGTGATCTATATTATGTTAAGTAAACTAACCATATTCCATTTAACTTAACATTATTTCATCAGACTAGCTGTTATTCAATGCTATTTTGCCCTTATTCAATTCATAATTGCATTATTTATATTTCTAAAAATACAGCATTATTCTTATCGTTCTGTGCACCACGTACATACACACCTGCATATTCGAGTGGACTCTGTAGGACCCTTTATTGCCCCACTTTGAGTCAGAAGGGAACTAAGAGCCTTCAGCAACTGGTGTGGGTCAATTGGAGGCTGAAACACAAATAAATTCTTGATTAGAAGACTTAAATATAACCTTAATTTTGGATTATGAATTATGAAGGGATTTCTGCCTCCAGTTATGAACACAAATACAACAGTCAACCCCATCTAACTGGCATCAGGATGCTACAGAAACTGTCACTTCATTCTAACCATTCCTGATTCATACAGCTCTCTTGACACACGCTGAGTACAGCTACATTAGACATAACACTCTTGGTTAACAATAGTTTAATAGTAATGATATGTCTCCCCTTAAATATACCATGTAACACTATCCAAGATTATCTCTATAAAATTACTTTTCTAAATTATGTTCACCAAAAGCTGTAACTTTCCAGTGTATTAACACCAATATGTTTGTAGTATTTTTTACAACTCAATATATACCTCGGTAATCCTAGGTTACTATCATTGAACATAGCAAATTTTAATAGAGATTTGCACTCAAAATAAGACAGCTTCTGAATTGCATGTGCTGCTTATGAAGAATTCTAACCAAACAATTCAATAATTTAAAATTCAATAAAGCCGTTCCATTGTTTTTATTTAAATCTCCCACCACTCCTAAAAAGAGTAGAAAAAAACATATACCATCACTACTGTTATAAAACTTTTCATCTGTAGATAATTTAGTTTCAACTGTATATCAGAACATGGTTAACATGACTTTTGTAAAATTGTGGTTTCTTCAATGAACTAGAGTTCCAATCATTCTATACTACATTTTATATATTTTTTTGTTTTTTTGCCTGCAGTCATCAAGATCAAATTTTGACATAAACTAACAAGTTTTTTTCCTAATGAATAATATTGAATTACTTATTTCCCATCCAAATCATTTTTCTTTTTGAAAATGTTTAAAATGTGTTTTTTTTTTTTTTATCTTTTATTGATCTGCCATTATTTAGATAATGAATGATATGGTTGACCGTTTCCTTTATATGCAAGCACAACAAAACACCTACAAACAGAATCAAACTTTTTATTTGTCATCAAGAACCCCCTTTGTATCATTTCTAAATAGTATTGGCATTCTTCCTAGTAGTGTACCACATGCCACCTGTCCTTTAGTCCTGATGTTGTCATCAACACATCCCCTTTTGGTATGCTGCCTACTTATAGCGTCCCTTTTCTATTGTGCAAGTTTGTATAAAACGCCACCATTCCATAACTTTTTTCATTTACATTAGTAATAAACAGATGTCACCTACTCTATATATTATCATATCTACATGTATATAATGCCAACCCTACAACATTCCTTACATATTGAATGCCACCCCTAATACATCATTTAAATACAGAATGCCACACCTAATACATCATTTAAATATAAAATGCCACCCATACGCCGTCCTTAAATGACCATAGCTGTTGATACGACATTAAACAATACTAAACCAAACCAAAGCCACCCATACTATATTCCTTAAATATAGAATGCCACCCTACTATATCCCTTATATATAGAATGCCACCCTTAGTAAATCATTTAAATATAGAATGCCACCCCTACTATATCCCTTATATATAGAATGCCACCCGTACTATATCCCTTATATATAGAATGCCACCCCTAGTAAATCATTTAAATATAGAATGCCACCCCTACTATATCCCTTATATATAGAATGCCACCCTTAGTGAATCATTTAAATATAGAATGCCACCCTACTATATCCCTTATATATAGAATGCCACCCGTACTATATCCCTTATATATAGAATGCCACCCCTAGTAAATCATTTAAATATAGAATGCCACCCCTACTATATCCCTTATATATAGAATGCCACCCTTAGTGAATCATTTAAATATAGAATGCCACCCTACTATATCCCTTATATATAGAATGCCACCCGTACTATATCCCTTATATATAGAATGCCACCCCTAGTAAATCATTTAAATATAGAATGCCACCCCTACTATATCCCTTATATATAGAATGCCACCCTTAGTAAATCATTTAAATATAGAATGCCACCCTACTATATCCCTTATATATAGAATGCCACCCTTAGTAAATCATTTAAATATAGAATGCCACCCCTACTATATCCCTTATATATAGAATGCCACCCCTAGTACATCATTTAAATATAGAATGCCACCCTACTATATCCCTTATATATAGAATGCCACCCCTACTATATCCCATATATATAGAATGCCACCATTAGTAAATCATTTAAATATAGAAGGCCCCCCTACGATATCCCTTATATATAGAATGCCACCCCTAGTACATCATTTAAATATAGAAGGCCCCCCTACGATATCCCTTATATAATACCACCTTACTATATCCGTTATATAATGCCACCTTACTATAGCCCTTATATAATGCCCCCTTACTATATCCCTTATATAATGCCACCTTACTATATCCCTTATATATAGAACGGCACTCACTTCTTAGTATATCCTTTAAATATAGATGCCAACCCTACTATATCCTTTAAATATAGATGCCACCCCTACTATATCCTTTAAATATAGATGCCATCCCTACAAAATTCTTTAAATATAGATGCCACCCCTAATGTGTCCTTTCAATATATATGCCACCCCTACAATACCCTTTCAATATAGATGCCACCCCTACTATATCCCTTTCAATATAGATGCCACCCCTACTATATCCCTTTGATATAGAATGCCACCTGTTTTATTTATCTCTTATCTATAGAAAATCACCCAATTATATCCTTCATATATAGACCCTACCATATCCCTTATATATATAAAGGATGCCACCCCTCCTATACATAATAATAATGCCACCTACTGTATATATTCTTATCATATCTATATAATGTTGCCCCTATTATATCCCCTATATATGGAATGTCACCCCTAATATAAATAATATTTCCCCTGTTCTATCCCTTTTATATAGTCACCCCTTCTATATTCTTTATATATAGAATGCCTTACCTTCTTTATATCATTTATAAATAATTCCAACCTCCCTTTTTTTCTTTAGGACCCGTCTTAATGCACATTTATAAGAATATCACTCCTTCCCTTTATATATAAAGCGTCATTTCCCTATAGCCTTTATAAATAATGCCACTCATCTCTACATCCTGTTGTATGTATGCCATCCCTTCCCATTTGCTTCTGTTTAGAATGTACACATTTAGACTGTCACCTTCCCCTTAATCCTTATATATCCTTCATGTCATCAATCTTCATATGGCTCATAAATAGAATGCCACAATACCAGATCCCTTATATGATATGATCAAACTCTGTTACACCAGTGACCTTACCCTTCTATAAATATGAATAAGTTAAGTAATATGTTAAGTATCATGTGTTATACCAGTAGAAACATACAAATTGATCACGTGTTGATATTTCCTATAATTCTGATCAGAATGCACTGTTATTGTTTTATTTTTTTAATTTTTTTAATTTTCCAATATATGATTATATTTATGTTCCAACTTTGAATTTGTGTAAAAGGAACTTATGGTGCAAATGTGGCAATGCAAATGTAAAATATGTTGTAAAAGAATATCATCACCTTTGGTTTGTTTTGTCAACCCTCCCTATGTGATATTGAATGTCACACTTCCCCTTTAACACAATGTACACCCTCTCGTTAATTTATAAATAGAATATCATGCTCTCTTATTTGTTATAATTAAAATGACATCCTCCCCTTATGCGTTACAGAATATCAACCTCCCAATGTGTTGCCATCCAACCTGTTGTGTTATATCACCCTCCCCATTAATTATGCATAGAATGTCACCCTACCTCTGGGTTTTATATATAGAATATCACCCTGCCCATTTCATATATAGATGTACCCCAATAGTAAAAGTCACCCCTCCAATATTATAGATAATCAATCTCCCAATGTTTTATAGACTAAAACCCCTCCCCAATGATATTTACAGAATGTCACCTCTCTGAGGTATATACGACACTCCTCCCCAGGGATTATAGATAATATCACCCTCCTCATGTGTTATATATAGAATATAATTACTTGACATATAGAATATCACCATCAATATTGTCACCCCTACCTCTTTGTTATAGACCATCACCCTCCCCATTTGTGTTACAGATGGTTACCCCTCCTCTAGTGTTATATATGAAATAGTGCCCTCCGTTTGCATTACATGGAATATGTAAATCCATCTCTTATCATTATTTATACATATACACAGATTATTGACACTTGTGTTAAACATAAAGAATGTCACCCCTCCCTAGTGTTCTTTACATCACCCTCCCTAATGTTTTATATATTTATCTTCTATCTATATACAGAATGTCACCCCTCCCCGTTTGTTGTATATAAAATGTCACCTTCCCTTTGTTATACATAGAATATCACCCTCTCTATTTGTGTTACAAATAGAATGTCACCCCACACCTTGTAATATATAGAATATCACCCTCTCTATTTGTGTTATTTTCACTCTCCCTTTGTTTATGTGGCATATGCGTTATGAAAAATATCACCCTCCTAATTTGTGCTATTTTTACTCTCCCTTCATGTGTTACGATGAATATCACCCTAATTTGTGCTAATTTTACTCTCCCTTCATGTGTTATGATAAATATCACCCTCTTAATTTGTGATATTTTTACTCTCCCTTCATGTGTTATGATGAATATAACCCTCCTAATTTGTTTTATTTTTGCATCAATGCATTACATGTCACCCCTCCCATCGCAAGTTATGTCACCGGTCCTATATTTTAAAATGTCATCCATTCCATTAAATTGTCCTCTCCGAACTTGTCATATAAAGAATGTCACCTATCCCCATGTTATATAAAATATCCCCCCCCCCCCCCCATCTTATAAATAGAATATCATCCATTCCCATGAATCATATAATACCACCCCTTGGCTTACGGGTCATTCAAAGAATGTCGCATCATCCCATTTCGGGTTATATAAAAATGTGATTTTCCCCATTGTTCCATATGCTTAATCTATATATAGAATGTCCTTCTATAAAGAGTATAATTTTCATCATTGCCCCTATAATGTCTATCAATCCTTTCCTATAATGAGGGTCACCATCTATATGCCCTTTATTTATAGAATATCACCAATCTTCCTAGTTTATATTCTGTAATAATATATAGTGCAACATGCGTTCCTTAAACCTCGATATCCAGGACCAGCTCTCCCCTATTTTATGTAGCTTGCAACATCTAACCTAGTGCATATTTATGTAGCTATATACTTTTCATTTGTCTATTTCCAAGAGAAATTGCAATGAAACTGTTATCAATCAATTGATTTAGGTAAATAGTAGTAGTTGTTTGCCAAAGGAAGTGTTTTGCAGATTTCAATTCTTTAACTTTTCAGGTTTCCAAAAAGGCATTATGTTTTGTTCCAATTAGAAATAAGGACTTTCCAAACAGTGTTGTAATCTGATAAATTAATGCAAAACAACCAGTTATCTTTGATGGTTGCTGAATCTAAGGGGATGAGGTAAATTGCAGGAGAGGCAAATAGCAGATGGAAGGGCAAAATTAAAAGGGGGTATTTCACATTTGTTGCAGTGTTGTTTTCAGTTTTTCATGGTACAACAGGAATTACCTCCCAAACTAAATTCTAAAACCATGCAACTTAATTTTTTCACATAAAAGCAAAAAATGATATTGTGCTCTATACAGTAAATAGCGACAAAGTGGTGAAAAATAAATGGGGAGGGAGAAATATTGGGAAGGAACATAAATGGGGTGTGGGATATATAGTGGGAGGGGTAAATAAGGGAAGGGAATAACTATATGCAGAGTAAATGTTGGTAATTAATCAATGGGGGCCATATGATATGAAGTGTGTTGAAATCATCAAAAGATTGCAGGTAATGAGAGGGTGATCACACAACTAATAGACAAGGAGGGCGATAAGTGTGGGGATCAGTAGAGAAAGGTAAGTAGGGGAAGAGTAATAAATAGATGGCGATAAGAGTTTTAACTTAAAGGAGAGGAGGAGACCACTAAATGGTAGGGGGATATATGTAGGAAGAGAATGCTCAATGAGGAGATCAGAATAAGTAGGGGAAGAGAGAAGATTCGGAAATAGAACAATAGTGTACACATCAATTACTGAGAGACTTGGTATTTACTATAATCTTTTTTTGATACATAAAATGTATATACATTATAACTCAATGATAAATCATTGACAATTTAAAGCAAGTTAGGATCTTCTTTTGAGCACGTTATCATCTTCTTGTGTGATTCAGTAGTCATCACATGCATCACCTGTACGGTTGATTTCTTCCCATCTCTGTATATATGGATCTAACAGTGGCAGATAATGTTCCATCTGCAATTGCATGGTCTGATCAAGGATATCTTCATACATCAGTGGTCAGGACTTGGCAACCACAACTATGTTTCAAAGTCTTATTTAATTGTCACTTGTCATAAATGCGTGGTTTATATTCCCAGATGATTCACATCATTGAGAGAGACCACCAAGCTTTTAACCCTTCTTCATCAATGTCCAATGTTGCTGTTTCTGGGTTGAAGCTTCACTATCACACACTAGCCAGTGTAACCGACAGGCCCGTCCATATCCTTTGGTGATGACAGTAACTCCACTGTTCACGCGTGGTAAATAGTACTTAATTGGGCATATACACTACTTAAATCTCATTTTGTATTCTGTCATTTCTTACCGTAGGATCAAATCCAGAAAACACTGTACAACATCCCAGTCCTCCATGATATCATCATTCGTCAATATTGTCATAAACGGTTTGTGTAGAATTTTAAATATGGAATGTATTTCAACCTTGTTAACCAAATGCCTTGAAACAATGTTTTGATGGGCATTTGATTATCACATTAACATATTCTATTGTTATTTCACAATCAAATGACCCCATCAAAACAAAGTTTGACAGCTGGCCACTGGTAAGTAGATCATGCAAGGTCAGGTGAGGGACACCCATTTCTGAAGCATAACCAATCTTCAAACACACACCTTCCAATCAGCTATCCCGTGTTAGCATCCCCAATCGAACAATCCTCACACACCTACACCCCCACTTCCCATGCATATTGACTGTGGCCTTTTTCCTCCAACACAAAAACACATTTCTTGCTTGCATCAATAGCCTCAATCTTCTACCTGCCTATATGATAGCAACCTTCCACTAAAACACACCCTTCTACTCGCCTATCTGATATCAGCATCCTCAAGTTTACCTGTGATACAGCGAGGACCTATGTGTATCTAAATGTGTACAGACTTCTAGATAGGAAGGTAGTGCTTCCTCTAGTATTGAATATTATACTGCTCCCTCTAGTATTGAATATTGTACAAGTATTCACTGTTCATGTCAAGGCAGTATCCATATTATCTTAATAATCTAATCAAGCATTGCACAAGTACAATTGTAGTTAAAAAAGGATTAGACAGAAACCAGACAGAGCCTTGTTGATTAACTGTTTTTCAACTTTTGCTTGAGCTGTTACCCCTAGCTCATTGGGTATCCTAAGAAATGGATTGCATTTAACTAACAAAATAATTGCAAACCACTATATGTAATTTTCATTTAAATCCTGAAAATGCTTATTGTTTCATTTTGAATTTTTTCGAACAAAGTCATTTTAATGTTAACATCAATATAATTATGAATAAAGATGTAGATAAGAACCACTGTATCCAAAAGTTGCATTTTGCTTGAGCAATGCTGCATACTGATGTGATTTTTTCAGATTTATACTGACCTAGTTTGAGAGTTAGTATTGATTTATAGCATAGTGTTAATCTTTATTATCACACAAAAGTAGCTTGTATTGTCCTTTGTATTCTTACACAAGTGTTCAATTTGATCTTAGAAGAGGTTATTACCATTGTCAAGATTAAAAGATATCATCCGAAATCTGGTTATCTTGGTAGTGTAAATGATGAGATATCTGGTCAAACCCCCAAGGTACAGACTCAACAACATAAAACGGCTCACTTCCCTAATAGGCACAATCTGAAAAGAGATAAAACAGAAAACATGTGTTAGTCAAAATGATAGCTTGTTCAATTCAATTTCTTATTGCTATATGATCTACATCATTGAAACTTAAATCCACAACAAAATACTAGTAATTTATTAATTAGAAACTCTTCACAATTCCCTAGAAACCCAGCCTCTCTCATCTTTATACAAGTACAAGTATACAAAAACTTCTTGATTTTCACATGTCATAACCCCAAATAGTGGCATCGACCAGACATCTGATAGATGTACTGTACCTCCATATAATGGAGCTGAAATCTGTCAGGAGTACCTCTATATAATGTTACTGATGTCAGAATTGCCTCCATACAACGGTACCGATATACGTTGCAAGTACTTTTAAATCATGGCACCATCACCATTCAGTTACTCGGGGAATTACATAACTTTGTCATAAGTCAGAGGTACCTCCAAATAGTGACACTAACATTGGTCGGATACCTTGTATAGTGGCATCAATACACAGTAACCTCCATACATTGGCACGCCATCATTCAGCTACCTCCATATATCGTGGCACTGGAATGTTCACTTGTCTCCAGATAGCTATATATAGTGGCATCTACATGTCGGATACCTCATATATAGCAGCACCAACAATCAGTGACATTGTTATAACAGTACCAACAATCAGTGGCATTACCCCCAGGTAATGTAGTGGCACCAACAATCAGTGACATTACCCCCAGGAAATGAAGTGGCACCAACAATCAGTGACATTACCTCCAGGTAATATAGTGGCACCAACAATCAGTGACATTGTTATAACAGCACCAACAATCAGTGACATTGTTATAACAGCACCAACAATCAGTGACATTGTTATAACAGCACCAACAATCAGTGGCATTACCCCCAGGTAATAAAGTGGCACCAACAATCAGTGACATTACCCCCAGGTAATGTAGTGGCACCAACAATCAGTGACATTACCCCCAGGTAATATAGTGGCACCAACAATCAGTGACATTGTTATAACAGTACCAACAATCAGTGGCATTACCCCCAGGTAATATAGTGGCACCAACAATCAGTGACATTACCCCCAGGTAATGTAGTGGCACCAACAATCAGTGACATTGTTATAACAGTACCAACAATCAGTGGCATTACCCCCAGGTAATATAGTGGCACCAACAATCAGTGACATTACCCCCAGGTAATGTAGTGGCACCAACAATCAGTGACATTGTTATAACAGTACCAACAATCAGTGGCATTACCCCCAGGTAATGTAGTGGCACCAACAATCAGTGACATTACCCCCAGGTAATGTAGTGGCACCAACAATCAGTGACATTGTTATAACAGTACCAACAATCAGTGGCATTACCCCCAGGTAATGTAGTGGCACCAACAATCAGTGACATTACCCCCAGGTAATGTAGTGGCACCAACAATCAGTGACATTGTTATAACAGTACCAACAATCAGTGGCATTACCCCCAGGTAATGTAGTGGCACCAACAATCAGTGACATTACCCCCAGGTAATGTAGTGGCACCAACAATCAGTGACATTACCCCCAGGTAATATAGTGGCACCAACAATCAGTGACATTACCCCCAGGTAATATAGTGGCACCAACAATCAGTGACATTACCCCCAGGAAATATAGTGGCACCAACAATCAGTGACATTACCCCCAGGAAATGTACTGGCACCAACAATCAGTGACATTACCCCCAGGAAATATAGTGGCACCAACAATCAGTGACATTACCCCCAGGAAATATAGTGGCACAAACAATCAGTGACATTGTTATAACAGCACCAACAATCCTTGACATTGCCCCCAGGTAAAATAGTGGCACCAACAATCAGTGACATTGTTATAACAGCACCAACAATCAGTGGCATTACCCCCAGGTAATGTAGTGGCACCAACAATCAGTGCCATTGTTATAACAGTACCAACAATCAGTGGCATTACCCCCAGGTAATTTAGTGGCACCAACAATCCGTGACATTACCCCTAGGTAATATAGTGGCACCAACAATCAGTGACATTACCCCCAGGTAATGTAGTGGCATCAACAATCAGTGACATTGTTATAACAGTACCAACAATCAGTGACATTACCCCCAGGAAATATAGTGGCACCAACAATCAGTGACATTACCCCCAGGTAATATAGTGGCACCAACAAACAGTGACATTACCCCCAGGTAATGTAGTGGCATCAACAATCAGTGACATTACCCCCCAGATAATATAGTGGCACCAACTGTGAACAATCAGTGACATTACCCCCAGGTAATTTTTGTTGTTTCCAAATCAAATTCCTGTTTCAAATATATATTTGGTATCCCGAGGTAGAGAAAATAATGTAAAAAGCTCAAAACATTCTCCCTACATACATAATGAAGCAATTACTACAAAAAAACAAGAGGCCCAATGGGCCTGCATCGCTCACCTGGTATAAATCTCACACTTGTAACCTTAAAAGTGATCTAAAATAAAGCTACAGGCAAAATATCAGAATTTATGATTAAAATTCATTCAAAAGTCCCATTTTTGTTTTTTTAAACATTTCACCCCTGTGATTGAAAGTCGAACAAAGTCATTATGTTGAACACATTTTATAGCCTTTTATCTCAGGATGCAACTTGCAAAGTATTAACATCCTGGGACCCATGGTTATTCAGAAGAGGTCGTTTTAAGATTTTACAAATTTGACCCCTGTGACCTTGAATATAAGTCAGTCATTCACTTTAACAAACATAGTAGTCCTTGATCCCAGCATGCTACTGATTAAATATCAACATCCTGAGCCTTTTGGTTATTCAGAACAAGTTTAAATATTTTGAACATATTTGCTCCTTGTGACCTTGAATATGATTCAAGGTCATACATTTGAACAAACTTGGTAGCCCTTGATCCTAGTATGCTACTGACTAAATATCATCACCCTGGGCATTTTGGTTTTTCAGAAGAAGTTGTTTAAAAAATTTAACATATTTGACCCCTGTGACCTTGAATATGGGTGAAGGTCATGCACATGAACAAACTTTGAAGCCCTTCATCTTAGCATGCTACTGACCAAATATCATCACCCTGTGTATTTTGGTTATTCAAAAGAAGTTGTTTAATGTTTTTCACATATTTGACCCCTGTGACCTTGAATATGGGTGAAGGTCATACATTTGAACAAACTTAGTAGCCCTTCATCTCCCTGGGCAGTTTGTTTATCGGGAGAAGATGTTTAAAGTTTTTAACATATTTGACCCCTCTGACCTTGAAAATGGGTCAAGGTCATTAATTTTAACAAAATTTGTAGCCCTTCATCTCAGCATGCTACTGGCCAAATATCATCACCCTGGGAATTTTGGTTATTGAGAAGTTGTTTAAAGTTTTTTTAAGACAATTGACCCCTGTGACCTTGAATATGGGTGAAGGTCATACATTTGAACAAACTTGGTAGCCCTTCATCTCCCTGGGCAGTTTGGTTATCGGGAGAAGATGTTTAAAGTTTTTAACATATTTGACCCCTGTGACCTTGAAAATGGGTCAAGGTCATTAATTTTAACAAAATTTGTAGCCCTTCATCTCAGCATGCTACTGGCCAAATATAATCACCCTGGGCCTTTCGGTTATTAAGAAGTCGTTTAAAGTTTTTTTAAGACAATTGACCCCTGTGACCTTGAATATGGGTGAAGGTCATACATTTGAACAAACTTGGTAGCCCTTCACCCAAGCATGCTACTGGCCAAATATCATCTCCCTGGGAAGTTTGGTCATCGAGAAGAAGATGTTTTAAGTTTTTAACATATTTGACCCCTGTGACCTTCAAAATGGGCCAAGGTCATTAATTTTAACAAACTTTGTAGCCCTTCATCCCAGTTTGCTTCTGGCCAAATATCAACACCCTAGGCCTTTCGGTTATTAAGAAGAAGTCGTTTTAAGTAAAATATTGACGCCGGACGACGGACGGACGGACGCCGGACGCCGCGCCATGGCATAAGCTCACTTGGCACTTCGTGCCAGGTGAGCTAAAAATGCATCACAAAAATTAAGAAAAATACAAACCAAGTACAGTAATGCTTTATCATGCTGGCCATGATACTATCTCATACAGTATAAATAGTATTACAGAGAACAAATTTGTTCCATGTACCCCTCTTAAACCATAGAAATACTGTACATGATAACATACAATAGTCAAGATTTGCCACTTTGCTTGTCTTGGTTTTAAGCAATCTTGTAGAAATATATATGAATTTTGGGCCAGTCTTCCACTTCTATTCAGGAACACCACAGAATTTCCTAAATTTACAGAATACCCATTAAAAAATGCCTGAAGACTACATTGTTATTTGTACCTACACAATACATTGAATCGCAAACAAAAAACTGTCCAAGTGAAAGTGTCAACCACTGGAAATATCTATTCCCCTATTTAAATATATTTCACAAGTGCATACTTATACCAATTTTCTTCATGCAAGCAAAATACTGAAATTTAAGTGTTTTTCAATGACATAGACTAGTCCATAAATTATGGACATAATTTCTCAGATTTTAACTCAAAAGGTATCTAAGGAAGGATGCTGGGTTAATGTCAATTTAAAAGACAAATAATTTGTAAACTAATGACTGTACTGAAGGAAGTGAACGGGGGCAAATACACACAACAGCTCCCCTGCCTCCCTCTTCAATGGCAATCAAAATTGGCCAAGTTTGATCTTTGACCCTTTAACCTTAATCAAATTTAATAGAATGTTACAAACCACAATATAAGGCCAAAAACAATATGCGTGTTTCAGGTATCCCGACCTACCCTAGATTTTACTGCAGACCCTAGATATTTTATCACCTACTTGTATCTACGCCAGACAAAATTCACAGCCACTCATTAAAATGTACTTTCTTCCTGTTTTGGGATTCTGACCTTATTCTTGACAAATTAATAGCCACTGTAATGGTGGAAATGTATTGTAAAATTTAAAATAAAACATAATATTTATTCACAAAAAAAAAAAAAATGCCTACCAACCTACACTATTTTTTCGGGCACGTCACCTGCAACAAACATATTTTTTTTACCTAAACAAAATCATCTGGAGGGGTTCAAGCTCTGTACTATAGATGGATGCACAGACACTGATGTATGCACAGAAGCACAAAGCAATTACTATAAAGCCCAAATCCCCTCACAAATAAAGGCTATAATAAGATCAGTGATATAAAAAAAATCAGTTCCAGAAGTTTACATGTGACAGCTATGGGATTTATCAGAGCACATAACATTTCAAATCTTATAATTATGAACCAATATCATGTGGCTACATCTCTTATTCAAAAATATCTTGAAAATCCTGAAAAAAGTCCCTTGGATTCATTCAAGGTTCAAGAAGAAACCCAACTAAAAGTTTATATATGATAGAGATGTCCTTATCACCAGGTGATTTAGAATTTACAATTCATAGACAATAGGTCTACGAGATATGTTTTGAAATTCTGATTCTTTATTATTGCTAAAGAAAAGGCTATTTTTGGAAGATTTAATAGAAAAATATTCTGAAATGAATTCGAAATAAATATACATGTACACTTTACAACTTGCTGCTGATACTTTATATACATTTGCCTAAAAAGATATATTGAATTTTTTTAATTCATTTTTCGAAGATAACTAATATATACACAAAATAAGATTGAACTGAATTCCAATTGAAACTTTGAAATAAATATTTGATTTGATCAGGGGTTTCAATTAACATTTTAAAATACTGATACCTTCATTCAACATCTCAATATTACTACGGTATTCAATTTAAGAGTTATCCCCTTTTCCTATTGAATAAATCCCCAATTACATCAAATTTTTACTCTGCCTTTTAGTACAGTATATTTAATAACTGTTTAAAGTTTTGACATAATCTAACCCTACTTCATTTCATAATTGTTTGGAAGCAGTATAGTATGCAAATTAATTATGCCTGGATTTCACTCAAATTCAAATCAAGCCGTCTCAGATTTTCTACACTGAACATGCCTATATAAATTGCTATCAAAATATGACAATATTAAGCAATTTATCTTGCAGAACCAGAAAAATAAACATTTGGACAAATGGACAAATAAACATGGCGATTACTAAACTAATTCTCAAAATGTGGAATCCTAAAACCAAATCCTTCCTGGAAAAGTTTTGTGCGAGTATGGAAGTAGAGGGGAAAACAATTCAGGTACATTATTCATACATACCTACTTTGAAAGAGTATTACCCACAAACCAAATAAAGTCAGAGCTTAACTTATTTTTTGCCAAGTTTAAGTAGAAAATAGAAATACCAGAAATGAGATTCAGCAGTGAACCTGTGGTTGAAAGTCAACTAGACCCCCTCTCATCTCAATGTTTAATTGTTATCAACACCTGTTTAGAAGTCATCACAAATATAAATTTGATCAATTTTCAACTTGTCCCACAACATCAACATTTTCAAAATACATTTCCATTATAAAACAACTGTAAAGGATCCATGCTCATACTGTATCTTTTTTTTTTATCTTTATAGACAACACATGAAGTATACAGGGCTAGAAATTGATTTTAAATATCACAAGTCAATAATGTTCAATCACAAGTCAATAATTATCAATGATCTATTAAGGGTGAACCAAAATAGAACGAGAGGTAATACACTTTCATTTGAGAAGTCAAGATCTAGGCTCGATGTCAGGAAATACTCATTTACACAGAGAGTGGTTAACAACTGGAACTCGTTGCTGGAGGAAGTGGTCCATGCCCTAACTCTAAATTCATTTGAGAACCGTTTGGTCAAGTTGTGGAAAGCGGAAGACAGGATGTACAGTTTAGCTACTGACACCACAAGTATCACATAAACCAAAAGTGATTACCCGAATATAGCAGTAAAGAGACAGGAACTGGATCTGAGTATAGAGGCCAAACGGCCTGCATTCAGAATCAACTAAGACTAAGTAAGTAATCACAGAATCAGGCTAGCAGTTTCCAATGTTAATAGTCCATGTTAAATATTTAAACAAAATAAATATTATATTGATCAACATTTCTATAAATGTTAAGCGATTCAATTTTAACATAAATGCTATGGAATCGGGTCTATAAAAAAACATAAACTTACATGGATATTTATTGCACAGTATGCACATTAATATTGTATCATTCTTCGTGAAATTAAAAGGTGAATGCAAATAGTTGTATCAAATCACTATGCACATTTTTTTTTACATTAAAGACTGTTGCAGCAATCTGTTTACATTCCGTCAAATATATTTGGTTGAAATTTTTCTGTACTTTTGGACACAAAATTTAATTAGTAAAGTATAAAGGCGTACTTAACCCCATACGCGTAAAAGCCATTTTGGTCTCTGTGGATATATAGATAGATAGAAATAATACACGATGTTATTTTACTAATTTAAAATTTATTTAAAAATCAAATGCAGTTTCAAAGGAAGTCATCGCTCCATTAATTCCTCATGCGAAAGAAGAAGTTTTCTTAACGTATACATTATAGATCTGGAACAGCAAGTTTGTTGACAAATGCCGCTGTTTTGTATTATTATACCACCAAGACACGTTGCGTTGAAACGTCCTTGACCCCAAACATTCCCCCACCCGTCAACACAGGCGGCGGCCATTTTGTGTGAAACGTTATCCTTGAAATATAACATGTAATTGAACAGCGATTGCTTAAAAATCCATTTCAAAGTTAAGGAAACATGGCAGATTATGAGAGTCGGATACATGATATTTGTAATTCATAACATCAAAATGAACAAACGAAGGAATTAAAACCCAAAACAGGTCAAATATCCGACATCATTTGCCAGAACCAAGACAAGACTTGTGGCAAATCTATACTATACCTGTATCCAATTCTGCTGGAAATACAAATTTCACTTCAATGATTGAAAGAAAAAGGAAAATTTTCACATTACATACATATTTACCACCTTATTCAATTATCACTTGGTGGTTTAACTTTTTTCAAAGTCCAGCGCACTTACGCTTTAATTTTTCGAGTCCAGTATCCTGCATGTGGCTTTATGATAGCCCCTATAACTTTCTAGTTTCTATTCTAAGATATATTGTGGAATTATCACGTTCCACAATTTATGAAAGATATTTATCCTAAATAACAATAATTTGGTGAATAATCAGTGCAGTCAGCGACTCCGGGTTTCTCGAGAGCATGGCAAGGTGCAAGGCCCCATCTTAGAAAATACTTCTTATGCTCTATAGTGGATCCTTGTGTCCTCTTTATCACTCTCAATAAGTTAAATATATACTTTTTACAATTTTAAAGTAATCTATTCGTTTACATGACTAAAATAAAACTACATATATCTCCATTGCAATGTAAACGCGGAGCTAGTCCCTATCAGCAAAAGGATGGGCGGCAGTGTTGCGCAGTAAATTTATCCGTTGTGCGAGCCCTGGATATGTGACCAAGACGGGTTTGGATATATCAACAATATGTTTATTTAATCCACTAGGAATAAAATATCACTTAAATATAAAAGGGCACATATTCTGAAACTTCAAAAATATTGCTTAACTGATTGATAAGAAGTGTTTTTGAATTCAATTATTTCTATTATATGGATAAGTGCAGGAATAATTGTCGGAATTGATACCTCTACCTGTTCAAGCCACACATTCCATAGTGCATGCCTACGTAAATCTTAAACCAAAATCATTTGAAAATGATTGCATACACTTTTCATGCAATATATTTATCCTGCAAGACATGGCTAGTTAAATAGTTTAAACATTGTAAGGTATTATCCACACGGCAATTGCAATTTTATTTAATGAAAAATAACCAGCAAACGTCGATCACATTTGACTCGACTGGACGAATCCATTTAGAAAGAGAGGATATTTCTCGAAGCTTTTTTCGTCAGCTCATTTATCAGTAATATCAAAATACAACGCTCTATGTCTGTGATTTTTCTTGTACGATAAATATAATTTTACCAAAATACTTTTTGTATAGAGAGAAAATTAATACTTGAATGAAACAGTCTAAGTTATATCCCTAAAGTCATAAATGGACGTTTCCCCTAAAACACTCTGAAGATTAAGAATCAGAGAAAAATCAGAGTCATTAAGACACTCCGCACATGTGTCGAATTTACTTGAAAGTGATTCGAAGTCGTCTTGTGACAACATCAGTATGCTTCGTGCTGTATACAGTAACACATGCAAACAGCTTCTTTACGATATAGTTATTCCTAAGGTAACATTGGCATCTGCATTCACAATAGAAATATATTCAGGACAAGAGAAAGGCTCTTGCCACAGTGGCCCGAGTTTTCTCTGGCCATCAGGTAAAAGGATGGACACAACTTCTCCTATTGGGGATACTCCAGCACTTCAGTAATAAAATTGTTACTGTAAACAGTAAATACATTTTATTACTGAAATGGGGAATAAAGTGAAATAAAAACACACAAAATTCTTTAAAACACATGGAGCAAAAAAGGGCGTCATTCTGTCAACTTAATCAAATAACACAATGAAGTACATTTGTGCACAAAAATTTATCAGTTCTGATGTCTTCACACAAAAAGACAAACCATATCACTGACTTTGTTCTCTATTGGACTTCAGTGTGTAGTCAATGGGACTATCCAGTGCAAATGTGACAGGTGAGCATGATTTGTTTTATGTGTGCTATTTATAGCTACTCTACAACACACTACATTTTCAAAAAAAAATAGACAACTGAATTTACATATTTTTGTGCACAATTGTACCTCATTGTATTTTTTTGGGATTATGTAGAAAGAATGACGCCCTTTTTTCTTCATAATGTGTAAAAGAACTTTGTGTGTTTTTATTTACTTTATTACCCATTTCAGTAATAAAATTATCACTGAAATGGGTAACTGTTACCAGAATGTAGGATTATGCATCGTTGTGCCCAACATGTTGGACACAGGTTTTTTGTTCAATGGTGTACAGGTTAGCCATTAAGTTCTTTTTAACAATAACAATAGATATAATTGGCACTTTTGCAATCACTGAACAGATGGGAAAGTCTTATTTGGAAACAAAGTTTTAAAAGACATGTCATCTTATTTGTATGCACACAATTTTTAACATGATTTAATTGGATTTAATAGGATATTAGTGGATGCAGGCATTGCTGCCTAGTATATATCCACAACAATATAGTTTGAAAATTCATTGTTGTTACGATATAGGTTGGGATCTGTAGGTTAGTGTGACCATCTGTAGTCTAGGAGGGGGAGTCCAGTCTGTGCTGTGATGTCAGTGTTAGCTGATACTGACACACACACACCGTCAAATTTTGCAGGACAAATTTTTGGCCATTTGAACTTAGTCATGAATAGGTCGAATTTTAGCAGGATTTCTGCAGCATCAACAATTTTAATGTTAGTAAGGTAGTTCAGCTTGGGAGTTAAAAGAGAAGAAGAGAGTTGGGTTGGGGAGTTGAGTTAGGAGCCTTGAGTTAGGGAGACAGAGTTGAGAGGTCTAGAGATATAGAGGAGAGTTAGAAAGTTCGAGTTAAAGTGAGAATTAGGAAGTTTGTAATTATAGTACCGGGAGTTTAAGCTGTAGTTTGTAAATCTGTGTAGTTTTACAGTTTATCAGGTTGGTCACAACAGCACAGATGAGTAATAATCCTGCATTTTGGGTAACAGTTACCCATTTGAATAACGATTTTATTACTGAAATGGTGAATAAAGTGAAACGAAAACACACAAAGATCTTTTACACATTATGAACAAAAAAGGCGTCATTCTTTAACATAATCCCAAAAAAATACAATGAGGTACAATTGTGCACAAAAATAATTATGTTAATGTCTGATTTTTTTGTGAAAATGACAAATTGTATCACCTCCATTGCTTATAGTGTGTTGTAGAGTAGCTATAAATAACACACAGAACAAAATCATGCTTACCTGTCACATTTGCACTAGATGGTCCAATTGACTACACACTGAAATAAACGGAATACAAAGTCGGTGATATGGTTTGTCCTTTTCACTAAAAGTTAGACATCAGAATTGATTAATTTTTGTGCACAAATGTACCTCATTGTGTTATTTATTGGATTTGGTTGAAAGAATAATGCCCTTTTTTGCTCCAAGTCTTTAAGGAGGCTCCACCCTTTTCGCAACTAACCAGCAGAATTCAACGAATATTTCACATTATGGAAATGTCACTATGTAGAGATGAATTTATGAAAATCTAAGCATTCCGATTATCTGGGGATTTGTTTTTGTAAAAAATACAGAAAAAATATTTTTTTGTCAAATTTAACACTTTCATATTTTGTAAGTGTGTGGCATTGTTCAAACTTTTACAACAATAAAATAATGAAAAGAGCATTGCTAATCAACCCTACAAATATTTTATTTATCATAAAATATCTGAAACGTGTTACACAAAGTGTTTTTTATTGAAATTGTATGGATAAAAGTTATTATATACAAGCTAAAAGCAAACAGGACACATAGTTTCATACAAGAATAGTGAAAAATTGGACCAAATATACACAAAGTCTTTATAGTTAATTTATTTTACATTTAACAATCAATTTGATCCTTATGAGAGTTGTCTTCCTTGAAAGAAATTCGGAACTTTTTGAAGAGGGATACAATTTATACAACGACAGTTATTTTCTTCACATATATCGAAAACGACTGAAATAAATTAAATCATGATATTAAAATTGTCAATTTACTGTTCTTTTATGGAACAAAATTACTCTCAATCATGTACACTTTGGACATAATTCCATAGCTCGCTTACGCATGGTATATTTATCTATCAGGTACATATGTAACCATAGGCTATTGCATGGTATACCGTTATCACGTGCATGCACATTCACTTGCATTTTTATAAGGATCCTGATATTTTACAAAACACTATTTTCACAGAGTTAATGTAATTGCATATGTGAAAGGATTTACCTGCCAGAACGTAACTCGCTTGACAACAAAAATCGTAGCGAACCCGAGCTTATGAACTAGTACTGTAAGCACGTGATATGTACATGTGAGGTCGGTAAAGAAAACACATCAGTCTGCATTCCATGCACCTCGTATATGACCTTCTTGAAGTCGTCTCAACTTATGTCAGTGTCTTCCCGTGAGTTAATTTATGTCTTTGTATCATACGTGTGATTATACATTTCCCAGTAAGTCTTGATATCGAGTGCTGACATAATCGTCACGCACATTTTCTATTGTTTACCCAGTATAACTATAATTAACACTACGGTAATGGAATGACCGATACGCAATACAGAAATGACTACACGAAAATACAACAAGAAAAACATGTGTATTACGAAGGGTGGGAAGTCCTTAAAAGAATTTTGTGTGCTTTTATTTCACTTTATTCCCCATTTCAGTTATAAAATTGTTACTCAAATGGGTAACTGTTACCCAAATGCAGGATTATTACCCATATGTGCCGTTGTGCCCAGCCTGTTCATAGTTGGAGATAAGTTTGGAGTGGAGAGATTGAGTTCACAATAGTGAAGACTTGTATATTTTATGACAGATTAAAAAACTTGTGTTGTAAATATAGTGTAAATATAAATGTACTTATTTTGTTGTTCAAATAATTTGAACTGGTGGCAGTGGAAATTGAGAACAGAAAGCATCAGTAACACAAAAGAGAATGTAACACTGGTGACCATCAGTAGAGTTTGGATTACTAACAACTAGTGTCAAGCAGTAGGAAAAATACATATTTTAATCAATTCACTGAGGTAATCGGGAGATTTTCTTCACCAGAAAAATAAAATAAAAAAACAAAATAAAATGTTTTTCCTACCTACCCTATTTTTTGAGCCAAAACAGGAAACACATATATTTTTATTTGGTCTTAATTTTGTAGTAAATGTGGGAACAGTCTGTATTTTTAGCCTTGAATTAAAAATTAAAAAGAAAACAGTTGAGCAACCTGGACCCCATCAATTTCTTGTTTATTTAAATTTTATAGACTTGTATGTACAATATGTGTAAAAATCTTAATACATGATGTTGAACATGCTCGGCTGATAAACAACATCAATGTGAAACATGACTTTGCTATATGGGTAACTGTATATGTTTGTGTCGTCAGGTAGTACTGCAGCGACCCATTTCTGTGACTTGTGCTTGTCACAATAAATATGAACCTCGGAGTGCTGAAGATGAACGGAATGCTAAAAAAGGAACAGCGTACGATCCAGCTGATGCAGAAACAAGTAAACGGTACCTAGCGAGTAAAGGTAGGTACAAACCTAGGAGAACGTCAGGACATTACCTAGCGAGTAAAGGTAGGTACAAACCTAGGACAACGTCGGGACATTACCTAGCGAGTAAAGGTAGGTAAAAACCTAGGAGAACATCGGGACATTACCTAGCGAGTAAAGGTAGGTACAAACCTAGGAGAACGTCGGGACATTACCTAGCGAGTAAAGGTAGGTACAAACCTAGGA